ACATTCTGTTGTTGAAATCTTAACCTTTCATTGTGTGTAAGCTGATATTGGTTTTGTCTGATGTTCTATACGGCGCTTTACAAAATGCCTTTTTAATCTTTGCGTTGTGTCACACCTCGGTCTGAATGCCATGCTGCTATGTTCACGTTATCGGACCATATGAGGTGCCCGTTGCCAATATCCTTAGGTTTCAGCAGAACGTAAAGTTTTACGCTTGGTTCAGTAGTCTTGAAAGCCTCCTAGTTTTTTCGAGTCACGGAGACAACTGCTTTTAAATGTTAGCTTGGTATCATCAAACCCACTGGTTCTCAATTTGTCCATGTACTATCTTTCTTTTCATCTCGCAGGAGAATGCACATCATGATAACTGTCTGGAACTTCGGTGGTTCGAACTGTCGAAGAAGCATCATTTAGGACAGTACTATTCGGGATCGCACTCCTTTCGTCAATATGCAATGCTAATGCACGTAAAGCTTCATATTACGTAAAATCTCCGGGAAATTTATATGATACTCTATGCAATTCATCTTTCGCCTTGCGTGTTTATATTTTTTACTGAATGCTTCTGCATTTATGTTGCAGCTGTCCTTACATGTGACCTCACCCTGAGGCGATCGCTGAAGTCTGCGGTTGTAAATTACCAGACTCAATTGAGATCGAACTCCCTCAGCTACTTAGTCATTGAGGTTATATCCTTAATTAGTCAATTTCCTGATTTAACCTTAGACTATCACTCTGTCATCAGATGCGCATATTTTACCAGATTAAGTTTTAAGTAATAATAACAGGCAGCTAGCTGAAAAATTTGAATTCCAACCTTGTCGTACCATCCGTCTAAACGCTGTGCAGCACAACTCTGTTCGTGTACAAAATTCGAAAGAAACCAGTCGGCTATGAAATGGCGAGCAGTGTCTTAAAATCAGAAAAGAAAATGTCCATTGCAAAAGATTCACCGAGTCAAGTCACCTAAGCACTTGTGATTCTTCAGATATCAAAGGTTTGCTTCAGCAATTTTATTTCCAAACTTGTCTTCAATCAGCCTTTAAATATAAACTTGAGTATTGAGATTACTCATTTGCGATTCTTGACGTTGTATTTAAAAATGGAAGTGTGTTTTATTCGGAAGATGGAGAATGAAGGGAACACACGACAGTGACACTACGAAAAGCTACTTCCTCTGAACTTTAGAACTGAGGGATCTGCGAAATTAGCATCTATTCATCAGATTCCCCTAAACATATAACCAACTATATTTATTACTAACATTATTATTAGAAGTAAGTTGATAGGTTTCAGTTATCAGCACTCAATCCAGGTGGAATATTTCAAAATCACCCACACTTGAACTTCCGGTAATAGCGGTTCAATGTCTGAGCTATTCTTCTTCATTCTTGAAGTCATATATGTCATATTATTCTTGAAGTTATAGTCAAAACAGGCATTCATTGAAGTTTTGCACTTGATAACATAAAACTCCTAACTCGATGTCACGATCATTCCAAAATTCAAATAAAATCAAGATTTCACGTTGCCTGTCGCCAATTATCTGTAATTGGACATGATTTCACTTTTTTCAAACTATGTTATAGTTTAATCAAGTTTGCGGGTTTAGGTCCAAGGACGGTATATGTTCGAAAAAGTAATTCATTTCAGGGCGACGCGAACAGCTGGCAGCAAATGAACGACATGCATAAGTTTAATGTCATACGATATGATGGTAGATCTAGTTAATCTGATAATTCAGATAATTGAATCTCCACCTAGCAATCCATCGGTCACAAGTTCATAAACCTTTCATCTTTTTCAGTTTGATCAACGACTATTCATAGTGTAGCAGGAAGTAAACAAGAAATCATGATTGCTATAGATTTGGTCTTTGGTCACTTCTGATTGATGGTACCGTAACGTAAATCAGCTCCACATCAGAAAGTGACATATGCAAGGTTCACAGCCATTGAAATATCGGTCTTCCTTGCTATTCTTGCCCCCCCCCGCCCTTAGCCGCACAGAAACAACCAAAGTCTACTCAGTCTTATAACTGCTAGAACTAGATCGATTGCAGGCAGCGAAAGTCACAACATTAGACCCCCAACGCCAAACCAAAGGCAGCAGCATACTGGCCAGAGACTTGTTGTCTTTACAAAGCAGTTGGAGAAATGGCTGTATCCTTAAGCAGCGAAGGCGATAACCACAGATTATTGTAGCATGGTACTTGAAAAGAACTTTCACACTGAGTTGTTCTTTCACTTGTCCATGTAAAAGTCAGTTTTGTGTTTTATTTTTATTTTTGTCATTCACTCTAGTCCTGGACAGTCGTCGGGTCCTCCCAAGGAAGTCTAAGCACACCAGAAATGAACTGACGATGAGGGGTGTAACTTTTGCCAAGGATGCGCCTGTATTGGTGCATAATGTAATTGTTTGTTATAAGTGTATATGTGAGTGGTAAAATCAGGCAGAAATATACTATTGTGTGGCATGAATAATTACTGAGTAATCACACTGTATGCCTGATCCGAACTCATAGTACAATTGAAGATGGCTATATCGTCCTTCAGTTCTGCTAATATTGTCAGTATGCCAGAAGCTGAAAGGGTGACTGTAATTAGGATATTCCTGAAACGTTAATCTTGGAAGTGTCCCTGTTTTATATGTGGATTTTTCTAATTGTTCTTCGTACTGTTTACAATCTGTGATGAATCCGTTTTGTGGTGATGGCAACTACCGTTGTAAAGTACGTAAAGCAAAGCAAAGGCAAACTTAATTCACCCCTTCTCCTAGCATATAAATAGAGTTGAACAGCTTGCTTATCTATGAACATATCCTTTGCTTATTAATTTCATATTTTTAAGCCGATCATGCGAATAAGTTCGCGTTCAAAAATTACCATCCTTGGATGTATCACTGAATATGGAATATATGGATATTAACGATAGATTGACGCGATGATTGATTCTCGTAGAAAATGACCATGAGTCAGGACTCGTATTCGCAGAATACTACCTCAACCTCTGAAGATATACCAAGGACCTGGCGTTTACCAAAGAAACACGTGACGCGTTTGCACGCACCTCAGTCGGAACCCGCCGCTTCACTGCGCCATGGGCACATCGGCACGACTACCGCAGAGAAAGCTCATGACTCATCTTCCAGCTCTGAGTTTGAGAAGGCAGTGAAACCAGCTGCCTTTGTTCAGACTACTCCCAATGTCATGAATGAGAACAGCGCTGATCAGAGATACTCTTTCGTTTCTGAAGCTGGTATGTAAATTTTGTTGCGTCATATTTACAGTATGATAATAGTCCTCAGACTGTCAAAATAACGCATAATAAATGGGTTGTGACGGATCAATCCTACAGACCGGTAACGGCTAACTGTCGCTCTGTCTCACAGTTCGGTATGTTATACTGTACTTTACTATCCCTTCGTGATTTCATCGCATGGTGATTATACTATTTATCCAACACGTCGTTACGAATTGTCTCTATTGTGTGACCTTGTTTGGTGACGATGGAGCCACAGTGAAGCACTTGCCTCTATGGCACATTTTCTCTTGATTCTTGCATAGCCATAAACTGCATTCAAAGCATGTAGTAAATTTCAGTTAAATGCTGAATCCTTCCTTGACACTGTATTATCAGCTTTTTCAATGTTTCAGGAGCCGAACAACTTCAGGACCTGAAGCACAACGAAAGGGAGCTGATGAAACTTCTGGACGACTTTAATTCGGACAAACTTCATGCTTTCGGTGAGGTGACACCCGTCTTCATTCGCCTTAGTACCCATTTCCAGCCGAAACCTACTCACACAAGTTGTAAAGAAATTACCTATCATTAATCACTATACCGTAAAACATATTTATGTTTAATTTGCCTCGATAAGGAAGACGATCCTTCATTCGAAGGAGTTTACAGAAACATTGAAACAAAAGCTGATTATTCCTAATAAACTGCATATATTAGTAAGCGCACAATTCCTCAAGAACCAAATTTTACGGCGTATTGCATCATTCCCTTTGGCCATAGTTCTTTCGATTAAGTACATCACAGCAGCTCTACGATATTTGCATACTTGCATCATCTTATTTTTTATTTAGTATTTTCTACTTATTGCTAACGTGTTTTAAAAGCTGGTATTCTTACGCTATCATATAAACATCGGAACTATGCATTTTGTATCTAAGTATGTTAAAGGGCGAATGACTCTTGCCAAACCGGATTCTGACGCTTCATACACCACTTTTTGATCTAATTTTCATTTTAAGGCGGTCGGTCACGACTCCATCATAACAAAGTATATGCATGAATTTACCTTCATTCTGCATCGGTTTACTGGTTAGAACAACGCGCTGTCCATCGCAGGTTTGGTAGTCACTGAATACTTTTTCGAAACTTACCAAGTAATCGGTTCATACGCCGAAGTACGTTGATAAGCAGAGCATATTACTAAATGCTAACTAATCGGAAACTAAATTACGTTCTAAATTGCACCATCTTGCTACTAATAATCTTACCTTTGGGGCCAACCTGGCTCTGCTTGTACGGTATTTAAGTACCTGCAGTACTGACTTATCTCTCGGAGTGTGGGTTGCACTACACCGTCAAATCCGGTTTCGCAGGCGCTGTACATTATTTAACATATTTTCGCCGGACCCTTGAATATGTCTATCTATTCAGTTTTGCGTCGCAGAGATGAGCTGTCTCAGAAAAACGTAGTTTTGCACATCTTCAAATTTGTGGACTGACTTCAACTGACTGTGACAAGTCCTCTTCACTTTTATGTCCATTTTAACTTCTACTTTCATTCTGACGCCGTTCAGCTCATTGAGAATTTTTTCGGTGACCTTAAGGGATCATAACGTTATCTGTAAATCATAAGTAGGCTTAGGTCCAGTCCATATATCTTCAACCCTCGATTTTCCCAGTGTCTTGAAAATCTTTTCCACGGTTGCTCATTGTGCTTTAGTTGTAGCTCCGCATGCAGTTGCTTTCACGTAATGAGCTTCCTGTATCTTTTCCCGCGATTCCGTGGCTTTTTAAAGAATCCAGTACATATAGATCGACTCAAAAGCGTTCTGCTCGAAAGTCGACGAATTCCATCTAAGGGGAAGTTGATATTAATTGCTTGTTTCAATTACTTGTTGTACCACCTGGAGATGATTCAGCTTATTAAATCTGCTTCTGAATCTTGCTTCCTCCTTTAGCTCTTCAATGTTTCGTTTTTCTTGAACTCTTTTCGGCAAAGATCTTGTAGATGATCAGTACTCTAGTGTGATAACCATTATCTCGTATACTGAGAAACCATAATTGTTGGCTGTCACCGTCGTTTCCCTAGGACATCCCTTATGAGTAGTATTTTTGCTTTATCGAGATTTCTTTTGAAGCATTCTGGATATGCGTATCGCTTTTTGTTGTTGTAGACAAAAAAGAAGCGTTGTTGTCGATGAAGCAGGTGCGAGAAAAGCAGGAGAACCTTGCGTACGTTCACTTCAAGCTATTTGCAAAGCAGGAACGTTTGGCGTAAGGATGCTTTCTTCCGGTTAATGAAATACTCTTGTAACATGAACGGCAAGGGTACAACATAAAACTGTTTACATATACAGATGCTCCTCTCTTTACGATGGTGCCATAGCGATGTGTTCTAATTCTCAATAGCGATAGCGAATGTAAATATCTCATATTGTGTTTAGCAGCGTATCATACGGTGACGATATGACCATAATTATGAGATTTGCAAAATTTGAAAGACAAATACAGCATGCTGGTGTCTGCTATAAAGAAATTTGTAATAAAAAAAGATATAAACTGTTCAGCCAAAACTTGATACCTTCCTGAAGAAGCAACTACCGTCAAAAAGTCTCAACGACCCAACACATAACGAGCTATACTCGCGAACGTGAATCATGAAAAGAAAAATAAATTGATAACAGTATCGTTATAGCAGTTAGTGTTAACCCTTTCAATTACTGGTATTTAGTTAGTTACAGTAATTATTCGTT